AATATAAGATTCTATTATTCAAATATAATAAATATTAATAAACAATTTTATATTTATATATTTTTTATGTCTAATATATTACGTAATATTTATTACAAAATTTTATTTTTACTTTTAATTTTAATAAATTTTCAATTACACTTTCAAAGATTAATAATTATAAAATTTTTAGTTTTGAGACTAAATTAAATAATACAAAATGTATAAAATGTTTCATATTGTATTTTATGGGAAAAATATAATAAAATTATTAATAATACTATTTTTTCATAGAAATCCGTCTATATTTTGCAATAAATTTTGTTAGTTTAGCAACACATACTGACGTAATATCATCCGATCTTTAAAGCTTCTGTGATTGGACGCGGTAAAGATCGGGTGACTGTTCGTAATTTGTTAGTTATTACGTTTGACATATTAGTGATTCGTTTTATTTTAATCATCGTATTTATTTAATGAAATTAAATATTTGATAAACAATACGTCACAATGGCAGATCCTGGAGGATGGTCTACAACACAAGACAATGATTTTTCTAATTTTCAGTCAAACGACAGCTTCAATTTGAATGAAGTAACTGGTATCGATGGTATGTTACATATAATATTTATCAAATTAAATTTTATCATTTTGTTTTAAAGAGCTGTTAGGAAATAATAGCAGAACTCATTCTTATTTTTGGTTTCTACTTTTTATTATTTCCTATTTGTTTTCCATTAGATTTATGTTACGGGTAAAATTAACGAATATTTCAATTTTTATTATTAGAAATAACTTATATATCATTAGTTGTATATGATAATTCGTTTAAAAAAATCATAGCTAAATAAAAAATGTAATAGTTTGAACTTTTATTATGCATTTTATGCAGTTTTATTTGCATTTTATTACTTTTGAAATTTAAGTTAAAAGATGTTTAATGTTTATTTATATATTTGTTTACATTTAGTTTATTAAAAATACGAAGTATTCAGAGGTAATTTTTTGTAAAGTATAAACATTAATGTTAATGATATTATTGCAACATATTTTATTAATTATATAAATTAAAATTAAAATAATATTAACTATGATTTTGATTTGATATATGTTCAAGCATTATTTGGAATTTTTTTTCTTACAGACCTCCTTACAAACTGTGAAAGTGAATTATTAAAAAATGAAAATTTATTTAGTGATGATGCATTATTGTCACAATTGGAAGAACCTTTAGGCATGGATACAGAAGGATTGGATTTTTTAAACTTTAATAACAATAAAGAGTTAAAAGATTTCAAAGAATTTCATGACTTTGAGGACTCAAATATTATAAAATCTGTAACAAGTGGAAATGTAATATTAACTCCAACAATAACAGAAAATACACAACAAATTCCTTGTGTTTCTCAACAACCTCAACAACAAAAGCAACAACAACCACAACTACAAGACATAACATCTATACAAAATAGGACACAAAGAATATCTGTTACACCAGCACCTACTGTATTTAGTTCACAATATGCAATCCCACAAAATGTAAATTTTAGTGTTCAATCACCTGTTGTAACAATAGCACCAGTAACACAACAAAGACAGTTACTTCTACCAGCTAAACTTATAAAATCAGAAGTTTATTCTAGAGGATCACAAGCTGTTAATTCAACTTCTGTACCCCATCAGATACATACTTTAGTAAACACTGCTAATGGGACAGTTTTAACTGCTAGTAAGAATGACAATTTACTGATAAGATTATCAGAGTTTCGTTAAATTTATATATTAAATTTAAATTCTTATTTAGGTATTCCAGTTGTATTGGATACTGATAAAGTACAGATTAATCGTTTAAATACAAATACACACATAGGTGTACCAAGAGTAAAAGAAGTAAAACGTAGTGCCCATAATGCTATAGAACGACGTTATAGAACATCAATTAATGATAAAATTATTGAATTGAAGAATATCATTGTTGGAGTAGATGCTAAATTAAATAAATCAGCAATTTTGAGAAAGACTATTGATTATATTAGGTATATTATGTTCATATATGTTTAATCTTTCTAGTTATGTATTATATGTGCTATAAATTAATGAATATATTTACCAAACAACACAACTTTTAGATTTCTTCAAAATTCAAATGCAAGACTAAAAGCAGAAAATATGTCATTAAAATTAGCTGCCCAAAGACAAAATTTGCGTGATTTATTAGTATGTGGTGAACTTACTCCTCCAAGATCAGATTCAAGTGAACCATCTTTATCTCCAGCACCAGCACCATTATCTCCACAATCTCCAACTTCTATAAAAGATGATCCAGATGCTCTGCAAAATGTCGATTCAACAGCTGTTCTTACAAATCAAGGCATGAGAGATCATACTAGACTTACTCTTTGTGCATTTATGCTTCTTTTTTTAGCATTCAATCCTTTGGGTCTTCTTATAAATAATGTTGGAAGATTCAATTCTGATTACATAAATACAAGATTAGATGGTCGTACAATTCTAAATTATCAAGGTATAATAATAATGTGATATAATAATATAATATAATATAATATAATGTAATAATAGTAAGTTTTTTTTAGATCAGTCAGATCTTGAAAATCCATTCTGGAGTAATATATTTTTATGGTTAACAAATGGTATACTTTTAATTGGTGGACTTTGTAGATTATTACTATATGGTGATCCAATATTACCTTCTGATAGCAAAATATTCCTTGAACTTCATCGATGGAGACGTCAAGCAGAATTTAATATATCAAAAAATGAATATAGTCAAGCATATAGAGATTTACATCAGTGCTTGCAATACTTAGGTCGTCTATATCCATCATCGCGTACAGAAGCTTGGCTTGCAACTATGTGGCAAATTATAAGACAACTTCTTCATAAATTATGGATTGGAAAATGGATTTTGTATACTCATAAATGGTTTTCTGAAAAAACTACACGACAACAAGCAGAAATATCAGCTATGGAAATAGCTATTATTTATCAGCATATGCTATGCTTACATTTATCAGAAGGGTCAAGGAATGGAACATTATATCTTGCTCTTTCTGCAGTGAATTATGCAGAAGCTACTGGTGAAACTATTCCAAAATCATTATTAGCTGAAATATATATTAATGTTGCATTGTGTTTCAAACAGTCACTTTTTCCATTTATTCATAAATATTACTTGGGTAAAGCACGCACATTGTTGTCATCATGTGCAGTTCCACCAAAATTGAAATGGATAATGAGTGATGAAGGTGCTAAATTTTTGGCATTTCAAAAATGGCATTATGGAGAACAGTCAGATAATGAATTTACATCTCAAACTAGCAAAGCTGATCCTTTATCATATGCTTCTCGTGCATATAGAGATTATTTAATTGGGTACTGTTTGCGTATTTTAACTGGTACTGTAGGAGATTCACATTTATCTTCAATATTAGAATATGGACAAATTATTATGGCTTCTGCTGGAGTAGATGCTGGATTTTTATGTACTGACAAAGTTACAGTTACACGTAAGATTAACAAAAATTTGTCTAATAAATTCATTGTAGCATTAAATTTATTCCTTTGTTTTGTTTGATAAAAGAACACAATTTGATAGAGTAATGTTTTAGATTGTGAAGATGAAATTGGATTATGGTGGGGAGCAGTTATGTATGTAGCAGCATGTTGGAGATTGAAAGAAGATGATTCACAGGCATGGAGCATTGTTGAAAGCAAATTTCCTTATGAGAAAAGTTATCAGCTTTGTAATAATAATAACAATAGTATTAGTCCACTGCCACATATTGTTTTAAATGCTTTACAAGCAGCAAAAGCTACTACTAAATCAGCTTCTATACGTTTCATTGATCAAGCAGGAATTTTGCTTGAGCAGTGTTTAGTTTATTATAATTGCAAGCAACAGTCATCACAAAATGTTTTGGTAAGATATTTAAATGTTGTATTTATAACGTTAATATTAAATCTTTATAATTCTATATGCAATTGAACATTATTATAACAATTTTGCTATACAAAATTTATACTTTTCTCTTAAATAAAGAAAAGAAATTAGGAATAATAAAATTATGAGCTATATGTCATATAATTTATTAATTTATACAATAATTTTTTTCTAATCTTTCTTAAAATTCCTAATTTAGTTTTTTAATTAATCTTAATAGTGATATTTAGTTGTTTAAAATGAATATTATTTTTCACTTTTTTTTACAAAACTAAATAAGTGTTTAATCAAATCAGAACATTATACCCAATAATTAGATAATACATTGTGTACAGCAGTTAATATTAAGCATGTTAACCATAATTAGTTAGTATAAAATATTTAATAAGAATGTTTCTATGCATATATTTATACAATTGCTTACCTGTTACAAGTGTGCATTGTAGTTGCATTGCATGAAATATAACTATGCAATACTTCTGCAGTGCAACTCTTGTGGCAAGTCTCAGCATCATATAGTAATAAATATATAGATAAATAGATACATAGATAGATAAAATATATATTTTATAAACTGATACATAATGAATAAAATTTAATGTGTATCTTTATTTATTTTATTAATAATTTACTTATTGAGTGCAATCTTTTTCAGCTTACTCAATTATGGATTTGTGATTGGCTATTGGAAATGCGAACTACACTTTGGCAAGAATTAGATAATAATTTAGAAAAAGTAACTGCAAATGTATCTCTTGGAGGTTTCCAACGCGATTTAGCTTGTTTGAGACAATTATGTCAACATATTCCAGTAAGTTTATATTTGTTTTAAATAATACAAGAATTATTCATAATTTTTAACAATTATTCGTTATTTGTTAGTCTACATTAGCAAGAGTATTTCTTTATGAAGCTACAGTACGTATAATGGCAGGAGCAACACCAGTAAAAACTCAAATATTATTAGACCGCAGCTTACATCATAGAAATTCCCGTTCTTCAATTATTTGTGGGAAAGACCGTTCACAGGATCAATATACTGGTGAGAAAGAACATGCAGTAGCTTTGTGTTTAGCATGTCGACATTTACCTGCATTATTATTGGCCTCCCCTGGAGAACGTGCAGGTATGCTCGCAGAAGCTGCTAAAACTCTTGAGAGAGTGGGTGACAGGAAAAGACTTCAAGAATGTTATAAATTAATGAGACAACTAGGACCAGCTATTTCTGCTAACTGATATATTAAATAATCCTTGTACTCTGTGCTGTATTTAACGCGAGTTTGTCGCTTTCTATGCATCATTGCTATAAGCAAAAAAGGTTTAGAAAGAAATTTAATATAATTTTTTTTTTTCACTTATATGTGGTGTATTAAATATTTTCAAGTAATGCGCCTTTATAACAAAGAATAGTCACTACTTACAAATTGGTATGTGATTTACAATTAGTGATATATTAGTTGGGTATGCAAGGAAAAGGAAGTTGAGAATCATTAAATTACATTTATTAATGCGCATTGTGCAAGGATTTTGTATATAAATTTTAATACAATACCTACAAGAACAAATTTTTTTTTTTAGTAACAAACTTTTGTAATAACTTGTTTTAATTTCATATTTATCATTTTCTGTATAATCATTTTTTAATTTAATTAATCCATTTGTCATTACTGTGTATGCTTATACGTGTATAATACAATATTGCAAATGAATTATACAAATTATATATTTGAGTTCTTTTAAAACATCTCTTGTTTAAAGTAGTATATTAATTTTAAGACATATGTCTTATATACATTATTTATTACATTATATTACATTATAATTAAAAAAAACTATTAAATTAAATATTATTTAATTAATCTATAGACTGTTTTAAATATTCAAAATAAATTATATGAATAATTTTATAAAAAAATAAATGGGGTAAAAAATTTGGTTACAATGTACATTTCATCTCTTCATAGTTTATATTCATTTCTAAGTTAACTTTTATTTATAGTATTAACAATAAATACGTAATTTAATATTTATTTTATTTAAAAAATAAAGTTAACTGTACTTTACGAATGTAAAGATAACTTGTATATGATTATTCTGCCAAAGAAATCTGTACTTTCATTAAATATAAATTTAAAAGTTTTTGCTTTTGCAGGATTTTTTAAATGAAATATCTGTGTTGTATTTTTATCTTCTGGATAAAATGATTCATGAAATTTTGTTTCTCTATTACCAACTTCTAAATAACAATCTTTTCCAACAAATCCACCTTGAAATTCAATTTCAAATAGTTTTACTTCACATTCTTGTTCAAAATTAATAATTATCCATTGTGGTGTTCCCTATAACATATGCACGATAATAGTAATAATCTTATAATCTAATCAAAATATATTACATAAATAATTAAGTATTTAGTTATTTTTTTAATATATTTATACTTCTTTAAATACATCTTCAAAGAATTGCAAAAAATTTATTTTATTACTTCTTATTAAAATATAAAAAATATTTCCTTACTGCGTCAGAATTCCAACAAGTTTCAGGGCAATTATCAAACATGTGATTTTTTCCATAAGATCGATTATTTTTATTTAAAACTGAACTGACCCTATTGACACATGATAAATAAATTTTTTATAATATTTATACGAAAGAAACTTTTAATCTGCTTACTAATGAAAGATATTGTAACCAATCGAGTATAATATTTTGCTTTACATATTACTTACAAATATTGCTAAAATAAACACATTAAATATATTAAAATTTAAATAATAACTTACCGACACTCGAATTTATATTGCTTTAATAAAGACATCACAATAAAATAAAGATAACCTATTACTCCATTTAACCTCAAATGTTTACTTCAGTGATCACATCTCCTTACTTCATTTAGAATTTCTTTTACTTCATTAAATATAAGAGAAGTTATCACAATACAATAACAATTATTTTATTGTATTAAATTTCAGTGATATATTTTTATACAGATTATACAGGTTATACAATTATTATATAAAATATAAATTGATTTAAGTTAAGCAATTATTTATAGTACATACAGTAAATAATTGTGCAAAGTATATATTTAAAAAGATACTTTAAACCAAATCTAACAAACATTTTTATTAAAAATAAATTAAATTTGTTATATTATAAGAATTATATTGTATAAAATTAATAAAATTATTTTAACAATATTAAAATAGATGAAGTTAAATTACATCATTTATTAAAAATGAATTGAAATATAAACAAAAATAAATTGATAAAACATGATATCATATAATAAAGTATTAAATTTATATGTATAATTTGCAAAAAATTTATGTATAATTGTAAAATAAATTTTTTTAAATAAAATTTTGTTTAGACTGTAATAATGGAACAAATAATATGTAATTCTACATATAAAAAATTGAATAATATAAATTCAACTATTATATTCTAATTTATAATATATGATTTATATATTAAAATTTTTAATAAATATAGCATATACATCAAGTACATGTCAGTCCAATATGGAAGTTATGCAACACACTAATAATTATGTACATTTATATGATTTACAAATGTATCTTTTACCACCATCTGGATACATTATATTAGAAGAACTATATCAATGGTGTATTGATAGATTTAAAGGTAATATGTGTATAAATATTAGTACCTTTCTGTGCTATATTATTATTTTTATTGTATTTAAATAAAAATTCTAATTATATAAATAATTGATTCTTAATAAATGTTTAATGTTATCATTTTAAAAGAACATATAATTTTATTTTATAGTTTTGGAGTTAGTAGAAAAAGTATCAAAGCAAAACTATAAAAAATCATTTAAACAATGTCGAGCTGCCTTACTTGTAGAATTAGAAAAAAACAATCTAATTAATTTTGCAAAACTTATAAATGCATCAAATTATGGATCTCCTGAAAGTATTAAACAGATTTTAAGGAGAAATGACTGTATATCACATTTCATATTAAGATCAGCATTTTCTTTAGAATATGAAAAAAGACAATGGTTCTATAAACAAGAAGTCAATTTATTCAAATGGAAGCTTTCCTTTTTGGATAAAGAGGATACAAAAGCTTTTAATTATATTAATGGATTTCAATTTCCTTTTGTTAGTATAACGTGTTGTAGTTAGTATACTATTATATACATAAATAACAAAACTTACTCTCTATCTATAGTTGTTAAATTTTTCTAGATTTCTAAACAAGAAAAACAAAAAATTGAAAAGGATTTAAAAACCTTCTACTCTGATACTACAAATATTGACTCTATGAATTTTTATAAAATATATTTTACTAATGTAATAAATTTAGTCGCAAAACGACAAATATTTTTAAAAAATGGTATTGCATATGTGCAAGAAACAAAATTATTTTGGATAATTCTTTCTGAATTTAAAAAGCAATTAAATAAAGGATTTGCAGTAAGTATGTAATAAAAATTTATTAAACATATTTAAAAGAGTAAATATATCTAAAAGAATGTACGTTGTTCTCATAAAAATTTTATATCATTTTAGTATTCACGAGCAATTATGTCAAATGTTTATGACGATGAAAGAATAACAAAGTTATTAAGTACACTTCAAAATTGTATTAGTAAATCACATTTTAAAGTTGATAAATATAAACGTGTATCTATTAATCAGTTAGATAAGGTATGTTTTAATTACAAATATTATTTCTAAAGTATTTTAGAGATAATAATATTACTGTATTTTAAAGTACTAAAAAATTAAGCATTATTGTAGAATTAGAAAAAAAAAGAAAAATTTTTTCTTTCAGTTATCACAAAAATCATATCCATTATGTATGAGATTACTTCATGAAGCATTACAGAAAAATCATCATCTCACAAATGGTGGTAGAGTTCAATATTGCTTGTTTCTTAAAGGAATAGGTCTTACATTAAGTGATGCATTACAATTTTGGAAAGATGAACTTATTAAAAGCATAAATGAAAATAATTTTGAGGAGCATAGGTATAGAATACGGTATCTCTATGGACAAGAGGGAAAACGACCAAATTATAAATCGTTTTGTTGTTTGAAAATATTCAAGTCTACTATTGGTTTATGAGATAATCATGGTTGCCCATTTAAATGTATGACATTTGATCTGCTTAGACAAACACTTTCTAAATGTGGATTGGTTCAATCAGGTAAATGTTATTATTACTCTAATAATATTTAAAATATTAAATAAACAAAATATTTACTTAATTTTCTTGTGATAAATTTGGATTATTGTAAATGTAAAAAATTTGTCAGTTAAAAAGATTTTGTTGTTTAGTTGGCTTCATAACTTAATTCTTAACTATCATTGTAGGTATACTTTATCTTGAAAGCATGTTCCATTTTTCAATTCATTATATTTATTTTCAGCTAGTTTTATGCACTTTAAAATATTAAATACATAAAAACATAAATTTTCCAGATATAAAATCAATACAACTTTTGAAACAAAGATCTTACCTCAAAGCATGTAAAAAATATTATGAAATTACACACAACTGCATTACAGATAAAACTTTCAATCACCCAAATGTATACTTTAATTATAGTCGTAAATATCTTGAAGATGCATATTCAGGTACATTTCATCATTATATTATACCATCATAATTATTTTCAACGATAATTTAAAAAAATAAATGTCTAGGACAAGTTATTTCTTTTATATGATTAAATTAGAATAGATAATTAAATCAATAGGTATAATTGAATTAGATCTTTAAAAATTCAAGTTATAAATGTAACTTGTTTTAGATATTAATAATACTTTAGATAATAATATTTAGATAATATAATAATATTTTATATAATAATATTTTAGTTATAATAATATAATTTATTATTAATAATAATATTTTAAATATAAATTCAGATAAAGAAGATTAAAAAATATTGCAAATTTTCAAAGATAAAAGTAAGTAATATGAAGAAAGAAAAATATTTTACAAAATACAACAATAAGAAAAACTAATGTATTTTATTATTTTTATATTTATTTGCATCAGCAAATATGTACAATAAATTAAGCAAAAAGTCATTGTATAATTTGTACTGACTTCGAATTTCATGTGTGATAAGTTAATAGTTATAATACCACTGTCCAACTAATTTTAACTTTTCCTTTAATCTGTAATATCTATTGAGTGATTTTTATAGAGACTATTTTCTTGGAAACGAATCTGTAATCGAATTGCTCTATCACCCACAGTTTTCGGAAATTGTGAATTTTTCTAGAAAAACGCACGATTTTTTACTAAAATTAACTATTACATAAAAAGGAAGAACGTTAGGCGATTCATTCTGAATAAATATAATTGGTCATCGAAGTTTAAAAATAATGACATAAAAAGAAGTAATTAACGACAAACCATTAGTATTTTCAACATCAGTTCGAACACTCCATACAATAATTATTAATAACAAATTAATTAGTATTAAATTATGTACAAAAATAGTATAAGAATGTTGCCTGTAGTTTCAACTTTGCGATGCAACTATAAAAGTTCATGAATCAATTACAGAATCTTGGTAATTAGTGATTTTTCACTATCGAGTCTACTCTATTCTTTTCTATTTGCTGTCCTTGTCTACCACGTGACCACGTCTTTGATGACCCCCTCGTCTATTCTGTATTCTTGTTACTTTTCTGAGCTTCGGATCCAAAATCATAGATGACGCTGACCACAAGCGGTAAAATTTGTATTTAAATTAATTACCTTCTCTGATTATGTGCGCCTAATAAATCAATTAGGCTGTAGAATATTAATAAATTACCAAGTTTCTGTAATTAATTCGTAAACTTTTATAGTTGCATTGTAAAGCTGGAATTATAGGCAATATTCTTATATCATTTTTGTACATAATTTAATGCTAGTTAATTTGTTATTAATAATTATTTAATGGCTATCGTGATTTCGTAATAACAACCGGCATGATTTTTCGCTGAAATATTTAATATGTGCGAAATTAAAAGTAAAATATGAACAAAAATGGTATGCGAACATGCCCAATGATATTGCTTTTATAATAAGTCAAACAATGTAATAATAACTGTAAAATCATATATAGATTTAATATAAATTTAAATAATTTGTTTTTAGTGTTTGTGTAAATGTAAAATTAATAAATTAATAAAATTAATAAATTTAATGTGAAATAGGTAAGTATTTTCTTATCAATATTTTACATTAATAATTTAAAATGCATTCTTATTTATTAATTTATTTACATTAAATATTTTTAAGTGCATCTGAAAATGTTTATGATTTATTTTTATACCATTATGCTTTCATCAAATGTCTTTATTTGTACTTTTCTATAACCTCATCTATAATTTTATTCAGTTTACGATTTTGCCAATCAAGAGAAATATCATCTAAATGATTATCAAAATCAACAAGATTTCTATATACTTCTGCTTTTAGTAAGGAATATAATACATCTGTATTTGTTACTCCTTTATCATATGATATACTGCAAGAAACAAAATAACATGTCAAAAAAATAACAAATAAATTATTTCTAAAAAATATATTAAATTGTTTACTCTATTATATCTTTGGGTTTCCATTTGCCATCTATAAATTGCGAAACTCTTAATAGATTTGAACCCATAGCGTGTGTAATTTCTTTATAGTCCACCTAATAATGTAAACAAAAATTTGAAAATTTTGGAAAAATCTGATTTGATGAAATTTACTTACCACAACAAGTAAAGTACAACCACAGTTTTCTGCTATTTTATCTGCTATTTTGTGAGCAGGTTTATCTGTACTATATTAAAATATTTAGTAATCATAACTAAAAACAAAAGATTTAAATAAAAAATAAATTACCTTAAATCATTTATGTTTTCATTTGCTAGGTAATAACCAGCTAGTACTAAACCTTTACTAATGGCATACTGATCAATCTGAAAATATTTTCATTTGTATTTTTATATAAAATTAACCAAGTAAAAATATATTTCTCATTTATTTAAATACATGTCATGTTTGTGTTACAAAAAATTCATGATTTTATAATTCAAATTTCAAATAATTAAATAATTTATTATTTATTTATTATTTATTATTAATTAATTATAATTCGTTCTAACTAAAAAATTAACCAAATTTTTTGAATAGTGAGAAAAATATATTTATAAATTTACAAAAAATCTTTGATGCAAATTTTTATAGGTTAATAACTATATGTTTAAAAACAATGTTTTTATAAATATTTTGTATAATTATTTTATAAAAAAATTATTTACGAACAGTTATTTTACTAACTTACAAAAGTAATTAAAAGTCTATCATTTGTTAAAGAATGTTCAAGTTACTTAAATATTTACCATTGTCAAAGCAACTTCCGCCATAGGTGAAACATGAAGACAAATGTGGAAAAGTGGAATTACATCTTCAATACGTAATTCAACAGATTTGCCGTCATTTTTATTGCCTTGTTTGGCTAATAATAAGCCATTTATTGCACAGTGTGGGTATTTAGCTGCGTGTAAAATAATTTTACAATATGCGCGACTAGAGAACGAGATATCGGCCATTTTTCTGTAATAACAAACACTAAATTTTGTAGCCGATAGTTTCTATGATATAAACAAGTCATGTTTAACAAATAGTGATTCGTTTATTGAGTTGGTAATAAATAAGAAAATATATTTTAATGTTTTATTTTCAATTGTTCATATTTTAAAATACTTTAAAATGGAAAATATTGAAAAAGTAATCGAACTTTTGAATAAAAGTAAAGCTGTTCGCGAAGAACGATTCGTAAATGAAAAAAAAAAGGAAATTATAGAATACAGTAATTTGATGAATAGATTACAAACTATGAAAGGTTTTTATTTTTATATCAAACAAAATGTTTTTAGTAGTATTAGAATTAAAATTTAATTATATATTTATTGCAGATGAACGAAATGATTGTAAAGAAAACATTATTAAGAATCTTCAACGTTTTATAATACACAAACATTCAATATATAAACTCATTCATAATTCAGAGAGCATTCCAGGATTACCAATTTCGCATGATTATCATCGGTATTATTATTAAAATTATTCTTCATATTCTAAATTATTTACAAAAATTTATTTTTTTTTAGGCAAGCAATAATGTTCTTATCAGAAGGAACTGAATTTATAAATAAATCACAAAATATATATACAAATTTTCATAACAGTAATAAGGAAAATATTAATTCTACAAATCTTCTTTATAATGTTGTAGGTTCATTTTATTTTAATTGTATAGAAAGAACAATTTTAAATTCATAATACCTATTAATAATTCATAATATATATCTTTTCCAGGCATCTTGCACAAATAGT